TCCACCCACGGCGGCTCCCCACACACTCCCCCCAACTCCACCCACGGCGGCTCCCCAACACACTCCCCCCCAACTCCACCCACGGCGGCTCCCCAACACACTCCCCCCAACTCCACCCACGGCGGCTCCCCACACACTCCCCCCAACTCCACCCACGGTGGCTCCCCACACACTCCCCCCAACTCCACCCACGGCGGCTCCCCACACACTCCCCCCACCTCCACCCGACAGCAGCTTGGCAGGAAGACCATCGTCTTCACTTTTCAGCGGTGATGGGGCTGGTACCTTTTTGCACCCACCCTGGCCGGGGATCAGCCAGTCATGCCATGGGCCCCAACTCCTGAGCACACACCTTCTCTCAGAACCCAGGCACATGCCCTGCAAGAGGCGGGAAGGCCTGACCAGTGAGGGCTGCTGTTCCTGCAGCTGAGCCCTCCGAGTGATCTGTGAACTCACAGATGCTACACCGCACGTTCAAGGATGCCCTGTCCTTGAAAGCACAGCCCCTCTGGGAAGCCAGCCCCAGCCCAAGGTGTAGGCTGTGGGAAGGGCAAAGAACCTTACCATGGGAGCCGGGCCCAAAGTAGGTGCCCTGCGTGGTGGGTGAGTGGGGGGCAGAGATCTCAGCTCTGGAGACTGACCCGTGCCTGCACAGCCAGACCCACCGGGGAGTGGGCAGGCACCCTGATGCTGTCGTGCTTGATGGGACCCCTCAGGCTGCACCCTCTAGTCAACCCCCACCACTCCTCCACGGGCAGCTCCTCCACGGGCAGCTCTTCCGCGTGCAGCCCCTCTCTTCCCAGGTGGTGGGAGCTCTCGGGCCGCACGCTACTGGGATATCCGGCGAACCTGAGCCGTGTCCTCCGCCTTCCCTCTAGGCTGCAGTGACATGTCTGTCCCCGTGCCTGCACCCCTCATTCTGCCACCTCAGTGTTGGTTCCTTCGTCATCCCGGCATAGGACAGCACGCCCTAAAACCCGTCCTTTCTCCCCTCAGCCACTGCCCCGTCTCCACCTCCTCTCCTTAGATTTTCTCATGACCCATTTTGTCCAGCATCTATTCTGTCCCCTCTGCTCTTGCCTTGTGTCCTAAGACCACCCACACGGCTAGTCATTTGCTGCCTGAGCTGGGTCGTGCTCTTGGCTGAGATTTCTGACCGGACGCCTTGAGGCTGCACAGCCGGCTCAGCCAAGGTGAAATATCCACACGCAGGTGCCTGTGCCTCTCCCGCCGTGCGGGCCGCCTGGACTGCAGCCTGTCTGCTATCACAAATTCAGCAGCACAGATCCGCTGCTCCCACCCCACAAACTAGAGTCTTGAGACCCAGAGTGTAGTGTTTTTGATGGGGTATTGGCATACAGGCATTCTCTGCCTAGCAGCCCAAATCCTGGACTCACAGAGGGAAAGCCAGAGTCTGGCATAAATCTCATTGTTTGTACACGTGGTCTAGGCCAGTCGGTAGAGAGGCTCACCTTATCACTTAGGGACATCAGGAGCCGCGCTCCCAGACACCTGCCAAGGGCCGGGCACGCAGGCTGCCCCTCCTGAAGTCGGAAGCCTCAGGCCTGCTGCGCTAGGTGGGCGCCCTTGCGGGGCCCTGACCAGCTGTTCCTCCCGCAGCATCGTCTGTGTCGGCGGTGACGGCATGTTCAGCGAGGTGCTGCACGGCCTGATTGGGAGGACGCAGAGGAGCGCCGGGGTCGACCAGAACCACCCCCGGGCCGTGCTGGTCCCCAGCAGCCTCCGGATCGGAATCATCCCCGCGGGTACGAGCCGGCCTGGCACTCTCTCTCCTCCTTGTTCCCATCCTTAGAAATTGTTCTCCGTGAGCAGCCACCTCGGACACTTAATACCTCAATTATTCTCCGTTTAGTTCGTATAGATTTCCTAACATTAGGGCCACTCTTGGGGGGATATCACTGAGAGTCTGTGACCAATGAAATAGGCACTTGTGGAAAGGAAAGTTCCCCGGCTACCCTGAAGGCTGCTTCACGCGAGGCAGGAGAACCCTGCTGCCGGGGTGCAGGTTGGAGTGGGGAGGCCCCCGGTGCCGGGGTGCAGGTGTGGAATGGGGAGGCCCCCGGTGCCGGGGTGCAGGTGTGGAGTGGGGAGGCCCCCGGTGCTTGAGAGCAGGTGGGTAGGTTGGCAGGGTGCATTCTGGAAGAGGTGGCTTCTGGATCTGAAGGAACTGGGAGTTAGGGGTGGGTGTGGGCAGAAGGAGTTGCGGTGGGGAGTTGGGAGGAGACTGGGGGAGGGCGGGCGGAAGCAAGGGCAGGACCTGGGGGAGCCGGGAGCCGCTGGGCTGTGTCCTCAAGTGCTGGTTTGGCTTGGTCCACTCAGTGTCCTTCTAGGAAGCACCCTGTTTTTTGAAAAATCACAGTGTTAAGCAACATCAGGGTGAGGGCCTGAGTGTGGTGAGTTGCAGGTTAGCAAATGACCTGGCAGGGGATGAGTCGCCTCCGTCCTCTCTGGCCCTGTGTCTGGCCCCACGAGTGGCGACTGGCTGCGGGCTAGGCTCCGGGCAGACGCCCCACTCCACACGGTGCACCCTTCTGCTCTCCTCACAGCTCTGGGATGTGAGCACAGCAGTCATCCCCATTTTATGGATGATGACCGGAGGCACTGGGGGTGACGTCACAGCGTCACCAGATGGAGAGAGAGTTGGAGGCTTAGAGCCCACTTTGCTGCAAAGCAAGGGAAAGCCCAGCCCTCACAAGGGACAGAGGCCGCAAGCCACCTTCTCCGCGGGCGCTGTTCCCAACCCTAACCTGCTTCTGACAGGTGATACTGCGGGCCAGTGTTTACTTGAAGGAGTCATCCTCTAAGCTGAAGCCATGACTCCTTCTTGAAGACAGAGCTTGTGAATCACCATGTGAGGCAAAGTGTTCCCCATGCATGGTGACATGGTGGGTGTTTTCAGCATAAAGACTCATTTTTAGGGGGATCTGTGTTAGCATAACATCTCATGAATTACTAATAATTGTTAGCAAGCAGTTGACCAAGGTCATGGTTTTAAGTGTATATGAAAAGATGATGGTCTATTTAGGACCCTCTCCTTCTGCTTTTGGAGAAGGTGTGATGCTGTTATTTATAGAAAGGGACTTTTTGTAATATCGCCTGATGAGTTTTAGAAGAATGCCGCTCACCTGAGAAGAGTCCTGTCTGGTGAGAACAGCCCAGCTCCCGGCTGGGAGACACTAAGGGGAGAAATTGTTCTTTAGAAATAGTTCAGTAGAGAAAAAGCTCTCAGCACCCCTTCCGATAGCAAGCCTCTTGATTAAACCAAAGCATTACAAAACTGTCGCGCTGGATCTTGGCGGAACCTCTGCTCGGTGTCCTCCCATCCTCCTCAGGGGTCCTGTGCCGCCGACCTCTCTGTTCCTGGCAGGCCATTAGGAGTGGGGAGAACAGAAAAGCTGCCTGGGAGTAGGCGGCTTGGGAGGACCCCTGGGCCCTGGCTGATGTCTGTCTTCCCTGCAGGCGGGGAGCTTGGCTTTCACTCGGGTGTCCTTGGTGGGGCACCCAGCCCTGGCACCCAAAAGCCCTCTTAGCTGTCTGCTGAATGACTAACAGAGCACAGCCGTGCAAGGTCAAGCTCTGTGTTCACACACACTCACACTCCAGGCTTCTGGCTCCCGAAGGTGCAGAGGTCATGGCTTGCCTTTTTGTTTGAGACTGGGTCTCACTCTGTCACCTAGTTTGGAGTGCAGTGGCATGATCGTGGCGCACTGCAGCCTCGACTGCTCCAGGCCCAGGTGATCCTCCTGCCTCAGCCTCCTGAGTAGCTGGGACCACAGGTGTGCACCACCACACTTGGCTAATTTTTTTTTGGTATTTTTGTAGAGATGGAGTTTTGCTATGTTGCCCAGACTAGTCTCAAATTACTGGACTCAAGTGATCCACTAGCTCTGCCTCCCAAAATGGCGGATTGAGCCACCATGCCTGGCCAGTCACCACTTGTCTTGCTGGCTGCCGCTGGTTCAAGTGGTGTTCCAATTCTTTGTGTTTGAGTCAGAGTCTCGCTCTGTTGTCCAGGCTGGAGTGCGGTGGTGCAATCTTGGCTCACTGCAACCTCTGCCTCCTGGGCTCCAGCCGCTCTCCTGCCTCAGCTTCCCGAGTAGCTGAGACTACAGTTGTGTACCATGCCTGGCTCATTTTGTATTTTTAGGAGAGATGGGGTTTTGCAATGTTGGCCAGGCAGGTCTCAAACTCCTGGCCTCAAGTGATCTGCCTGCCTTGGCCTCTCAAAGTGCTAGGATTACAGGCGTGAGCCGCTGCACCCAGCCCATTCCGATTTAATGACTCAGGCAACCAAAGCTCGTGGCGTTGCACGTGTCTCCAAGGCCGCATGTGCCTGAGATGAAGGCGGCATCTCCTGCTGTCTTCACCCCAGGCCCCTCAGTCCCTTCCTTCTTCTGTTCTCTGCATCATCCACACTCATGAAGGACCCTGGCTCTGCATACGTGTGGCAATCAGAGGCTCCAAGTGATGATTTCCTCGTGGACAGGCCTTGACGTGGAGTCTCTGGACCGGCTTAATTCTCCCATAAAGGCCACAGCTCTCTAGACCACCCACGGGCTGCGAGGGGGAGTTTCCCAAAACCTGGCGCAGCCTGGATATTGTCTGTGGTTTACCTTTTATTCCATCTGATAGGCTAGGCATGCTGCCTTATTCGCTATCTTTATTTACTGTCTTTGTTTGTAACAGCTTTCAATATTTACTGTCTTTGTTTGTCTTGCTTTTATTGCTGAGACCACGCAGCTTTTACAGGTCCTCTTGCTGTTTGCAGTTTGAGCTTCTGTAAACGTCCTTTGCCTGGCTTAGTCCGAGTTCTCGTGGGGAAGTGAGAGGGCATTGTCGCTTTCTAATTGATCACAACTTTGTTTACGTGTCATTTGCCCTTCATTGGTTTTTATGTTTTACAACTATTTTCCAAATTAGGTTTTTGTCTTCTAACTTTGTATGCGGTGTGTTCTGGATTTCATGAATTCTGTTTTTCTACATTCTAATCTATGCTGTATGGTTCTTATGTTGTTTGCAAGAAATCCGCCTTTTGTCACGATTTGTCAACAGCAGTGCTAAACCCTGACACCCTCAGCTCTTAAAATCCGAAAAGAGCTCCGGAGCTGAGACGGTGGCTCAGGAGCGCTCCTGGTGGCTCAGGCTGCACTTCCTCGTGGTCAGGGTGGCAGTGCCGCTGTGTGCCCTGCCCTCCTCTAGGCCTTGGCTGTGGCCTCTGCCCCAGGAGAGGACGACAGGCAGCCCACCAAATGTCGGCACAAAAGCCTTTCCCAGGGTGGGAAAGTCAGTGCAGCAAATACCGCTGCGGGGAGGGATCTTGGAGAGGGTCTTTTTGTGGCCCCTTTCCATGGGTGTCCAGGAGGCCTTTCTGAGAGGTGACAGGCGAGGGGCCTCAGCCAGGAGTCAGCTGGTGCAGAGGGCAGCTGGTGGGAGAAGCTGGGGGTATTGGGGATGAGGAAGCCAGTGTGGCTGGGATGGGGGTGGAGGGTCACGGCAGGGCCCTGGGGAGATGCCAAGTTCCACTCTTCCCTGCAGCAGGAGGTCTTGGAGGTGGTGGTTCTGCAGGGGGTGACATCTGACTCTGCTCTGATACCGCTCTCTGCATGTGGTCCTAGGAGCACGTGGGCCCCGGTGAGAAGGCTGGTGACTTGGATGGCAGGGGTGCTGCACAGGGTCTGAGACTCTGGGGTGTAGCAGATGGGGGGCTGCGTGGGGTCTCTGAGACATGGCATAGCCTTGAGTGGAGGAGTAAGGGTGAGGGAGGCACCCTACGGTGGCCCTGTAACAGTCGCCATGGCAACCTGGGAACCAGCCTGGGAGCACAAGAAATGTGAGTGAGACCTGACAGCCACAAACCCCATGGGAGGCCGCCTGGGCGTGCGCAGCCAGCCGGTGGTGGCAGCAGGCGCCTGGACTCACTCACATTCCAGGGTTCCAGTCCCTAGAAGGTGGAGAGGTCACTGCTTGTCTTGCTGGTTGGGGGGAGGAGGGGCAGGTAAGGGTTGGAGTCCTGGGATCCAGAGGGTGTGGAGCAGTCTCGGTGGAGGGCTGCCTCGGGGACACATGTCACAGCAACGTCATCCAGCATGTTTTTACCTTTCAAGTCTCTTCCAAATACATGTTAATTTAATTGCATTAGCAAATCTATAGGAAGAATAAATTGTCATTGGGTCCTTCAGTTAAGGGCAGGCGTTAGCCCTTAACTGCATCTGCGGCTGGTAACTTCAGCCGGCCTTGCCTGTTAATGAACTGAGGCACAGAGAGGCTTGAGGAGATGATGTGTGTGCTGGGGGCAACCTCCCTGGATCCCGGTCCTTCCTGCGGGAGCGGGAGCATGTGGTCTTTACTCCGGTGGCGGCCGTGCTGGTCGGGTGGATGAGGAACTCGTGCACTCAGTTGCGTCGGGAATGTTGAGGGCCAGCCCAGCTACTCCCGCAGCGTGGGTGGTCGCTGGGGATACAAATCGTTCTTTTGAGCTCCGGTCCTCAGAGGGCGGGCTGTGCGGTCAGCCGGTGCAGCTGCAGCTTCCATTTCATCTGAGCCAGTGAAGCGCAGGATAAAAAGATGCATAAGCCACAGCTGGCCACGTCCACAGGGCTGAAGCAGGGACTCGAGCTGCCTGTCCTGGTATTAAGATCTCAAGTAGGCCGGGCGCGGTGGCTCACACCTGTAATCCTGGCACTTTGAGAGGCTGAGGCGGGCGGATCACGAGGCCAGGAGATCAAGACCATGCTGGCCAACATGGTGAAACCCCATCTCTATTAAAATACAAGAAAATTATCTGGGTGTTGTGGCACACGCCTGTAGTCCCAGGAGAATTGCTTGAACCCGGGAGGTAGAAGTTTCAGTGAGCCGAGATTGTACCACTGCACTCCAGCCTAGTGACAGACCGAGACTCCGTCTCAAAAAAAAAAAAAAAAAAAATCTCAAGAAATGGCAGTGTGTGACCTTCGCCGCATCCAGCCGCTTCAAATGTTTACGAAAAGTTCTAGGCTTTACACAGCGTTTCCTTTCTGTCCTTATGGCACGAAATTTGTGTCTTTGATGAAGTTGGTCCACAGGGTTTGACTGCGTCATGCATGCCTGCTGCCTGCTCTGGCCCAGCCTGGGGCGACTGAGGCCGTCATGTTGAGGGAAGGAGACCCACGCTGAGCCAGATCAGTTGGGGAGAGCAGCGGAGAGGGTGGCCCGGGGACTCAGGACAGACACCGGGGACCCACGGCACCCGACCTTGGGCGTGAGGAGAAACAAAAAAAGAGTCATGCCTGTCATCTCAAAGGTTCACTTACACATTTTTTACTTTTTGGTTTTTTTTTGAAACGGTCTCACTCTGTCGCCCAGGCTGGAGTGCAGTGGTACGATCTCGGCTCACTGCAACCTCCGCCTCTTGTGTTCCAGTGATTCCCCTGCCTCAGGCTCCCAAGTAGCTAGGATTACAGGTGCCTGGCTAATTGCTTGTATTTTTAATAGAGACAGGGTTTCACCATGTTGCCCAGGCTGGTCTCAAACTCCTGACCTCAGGTGATCGACCCGCCTCGACCTCCCAAAGTGCTGGGATCACAGGCATCAGCTACTGCACCTGGCCACTTTTTGGCTCAATTTTGAAATGAGATGTCACTCACGTCTGAGTTAAGATTTAACACAAAAGACAGACACGTGTTTAAAATGCATGTGTGCCTACGTGTGCCAGCCCTTGGGCCGTCAGCCCACTGAGACCACTAACAAGGGCCCTTCTGCTGCGCAGTCTGGTCTCGGAGATCACCAGGAGGGCTGTGGTCCAGGACCTGCGTTGGGAACTCGAACTTCCAGGTGTCACCAGAGGTCACCGATGATGAGAGGCCTGTGGACTCTGGGGGCTGAGGCAGAGCCCCCGGGACCTGCAGCGCCCAGGCCAGCCTGTCTGTGCCTGGTCACACTTTGGGCCACTCCCTAGTGAGTGGTGTCATGGGTCCAACATTAGACTTGCTAGATGCTGTCACAAGGTTTGTTCCAGGGAGATCCAGTCTCGGCGTTTCAGCTACCCGGCACAGGTGCCGAATGTTTGGGCTGCCTGGCCTCGTCCTGGACCTACTGAGAGAGGAACTTGGGTGTTGGAGCCTCCAGAGTCACTGTTACAGACAGGTTCTCAGGATAGTCTCACCCCTGCAGGCTGGAGAACAGCAGCCTCAGCTGTGACCTGGTCGGAGTGAGACAGCCCCTGGGAGGATCAGCAGCCTTGCTGCCATGCCGTGGTCACCCCTGCCCAGGTGCAGCACGGTTCTGCAAAGCCACCCTCTGCAGCACCCTGAGGCCACACCTTGGTTGCCTCCCTGTGTGGGAGAGAAAGCAGAGCCCCGACCCTGGTCATGCATCTGCTGGTGTGGTCACTGGGTGCAGAGTGCAGGCAGCGGGTCCCTGCAGGTGCATCAGCTGGCGGCGGCCACTCCCTGTGAATCCAAGGTCAGCCTGCTCCTCCTTCAAGTGCAGCGCTGTTGCTGGAAACGGTGTCTTGGTGTGAAAGCCTCTCTAGTGCTGTTTTCCTGTGACCTTTGCAGTTGACCTACTTGTTCAGGCCTCCAAAGATGGCCTGGGTGGGCTCCGTTAGCCCTTGTGGTCCAGGCCATGGGGTGCTGCTGCCATCTGGGGGGTCCCCTGTAAGACAGGCTTCAGGAGCCACCGTGATGCTGGCAGGGCCATGTCCTAAGCAACTCCGAAGGGTGCCGCTTGATATTGTTGCAAGATTAATCTCGGTATTTTTTGTTGTTGGGGGGCAGAGTGTACCTCTGTTGCCCAGGCTGGAGTGCAGTGGCACTATCTTGGCTCACTGCAGCCTTCGCCTCCCAGGATCACGTGACTCTCCTGCTTCAGTCTCCCAAGGAGCTGGGATTACAGGTGCATGCCATTACTAAACCTGTCTTTTAAGTAGAGACGGAGTTTCACCACGTTGACCAGGCTGGTCTTGAACTCCTTGAGGAATCAATGCTAACATTACCAATATCCATTTTGTGGGTAAATTCTATTTATTCCTTAGTGTTGGTTGACTCTTAGGGCCATGGAAGGAAAGGAATGAGGAACCACTCACTGAATTGGGAGACGGCGACAATTCCAGGTCATTCGAATGATTTTCAGGAGCTTCTCTCTCTACAGGGTCCACGGACTGTGTGTGCTACTCCACGGTGGGCACCAGCGACGCGGAAACCTCAGCGCTGCACATCGTTGTCGGTGAGCCTCCTCCACCCATGCATGTCTCTGCGCCGCCCCAGAGATGCCAGGGCAGCCGGGCCTCCTGCGCCCCAGGCCTGTCCTGCTCTGGTGATCGTCGAGGGTTCTGGCTGCTGCCACCCTGTTCTGAAGCATGGGTCAACCTGTGTCCCCTGCCCTGCTCTCTGCACTGTGATCCCACTCGGCACCCAGCTGCGAGGCCAACTTGTCAGAACAGCCTTTCTAGGGCACGCCCAGTGTGGCCCGAGCTCTTTCCCACAGAATCCACATGTGCGATGCCCTTCCTCAGCTCATCTGACTCCCGTGTTCCTCCTCCCGAGGCTGCTGTCCCGAGGCTCAGAAGCTGACGTGTCCCGCCGTGGTGCCTGTGGCCGTGGCCATGGGCACTGTGCCCAGGCGGACGCTGTGGAAGGCATGCCTGTGTGAGGCTGTGAGGTTTCAGTCCAGGACACAGCCCCAGTCAGGAAGAGCAGGAGGGAATGCCCATGGCCCTCAGCACGGTGGGCCCTAGCATGACAGGTCTTTAGTACCCCTGCCTGTTCCTCGTCCCAGTACACAGGCTTACTGCGCCTCACCTAAGTCACAGAAATTGTGTATTTTAAAATAGCCAATTAGGTTTGGTTTGTTTTGTTTTTTGAGACAGAGTCTTGCTCTGTCTCCCAGACTGGAGTGCAATGGCACTATCTCGGCTCACCACAACCTCAGCCTCCCAGGTTCAAGCGATTCTCCTGCCTCAGCCTCCTAGGTAGCTGGGATTATAGCCGCGCACCACCACACCTTGCTAATTTTTTTTTTTTTTTTTTGAGATGGGGTCTTGCTCTGTCGCCCAGGCTGGAGTGCAGCGGTGCAGTCTTGCAGTCAGTCTCGGCTCACTGCAGCCTCTGCCCCCTGGGTTCCAGTGATTCTTCTTTCTCAGCCTCCTGGGTAGCTGGGATTACAGGTATGCACCACCACGCCCGGCTAATTTTTGTATTTTTAGTAGAGACAGGGTTTCGCCATGTTGGCCAGGCTGGTCTCAAACTTCTGACCTCAGGTGATCCACCCGCCTTGGCCTCACAAAGTGCTGGGATTACAGGCATGAGCCATAGCGCCCGGCCAGGATTTTTTTTTTTTTTTTCTTTAAGACAGGATCTCACTCTGTCACCCTGGCTGGAGTATAGTGGCGTGATCATGACTCACTGCAGCCTTGACCTCCAGAACTCAAGCAATCCTCCCACCTCAGTCTCCTAAGTAGCTGTGATTACAGAGGTGCACCACCACACCTGGCTAATTTTTGTATTTTTTGTAGACAGGTTCTCCCTGTGTCTCAAACTCCTGGGCTCAAGTGATCCTCTCACCCTGGCCTCCCAAAGTGTTGGGATTATAGGCGTGAGCCACCGTGTCCAGCCTACTTCTGATTTCGTATTTTGTTTATTTATTTTACTATTATTGAGACAGAGTTTTGCTCTTCTTGCCCAGGCTGGAGTACAGTGGTAAGATCTCGGCTCACTGCAACCTCTGCCTCTCCAGGTTCAAGCAATTGTCCTGCCTCAGCCTCCCAAATACCTGATATTACAGGTGCCTGCCACCACGCCCAGCTAATTTTGTAATTTTAGTAGATACAGGGTTTCACCATGTTGGCCAGGCTAATCTTGAACACCTAACCTCAGGTCATCCACCCACCTCAGACTCCCAAAGTACTGGGATTACAGGCATGAGCTACCATGCCTGGCCTATTTTATTTTGACAGGGAGTCTCACTCTGTGGCCCAGGCTGGAGTGCAGTGGTTTGATCTAGCTTTACTGCAACCTCTGCCTCCTTGGTTCAAGCAATTCTCCTGTTTAAGGTTCCCGAGTAGCTGGGATTACAAGCACATGGCACCACGCCTGGCTAATTTTTGTGTTTTTAATAGAGACAAGGTTCCACCATTTTGGCCAGGCTGGTCTCGAACTCCTGACCTCAGGTGACAGGTAATCTGCCCTCCTCAGCCTCACAAAGGGCTGGGATTACAGGTGTGAACTACTGCACCCTGCTTGGTTTTGTATTTTAAAATGCCATGTACTTTTTCTTCATTCTCAAACCACCATCCTTTGAGTTAATGACATTTCACAAGCCTCACTGATACACTCTTGTCTGTCCCCACAGGACAGCTCTCCTAGCCTGTTTTGGAAATTTGGGTCGTTTGAATAAAAAATATGGCATCCAATACCCCAAGGGACAGAATCCTGGGCATTGAATGTGTTCTGTTTGTTTCACACTATTTTTAAGTAACTCCCACGTTTGCAAAGTGCCACTGAAGGGGCCGGAGTGGAGGGGCGGGGCGGGGGTAAAGGGGCGGGGCCGGGGTGGAGGGGCGGGGCCGGGGTGGAGTCGAGTGGAGGGGCGGGGTCGGGGTGGAGGGGCGGGGCCTGGGTGGAGTGGGAGTGGAGGGGCGGGGCCGGGGTGGAGGGGCGGGGCCGGATGGAGGGCCGGGGCCAGGGTGCAGTGGAGTGGAGGGGCGGGGCCGGGTGGAGGGGCGGGGCCAGGGTGGAGTGGAGGGGCGGGGCCGGGTGGAGGGGCGGGGCCGGAAGGGAGGCTGTGTTCTCCACGGGGCTTCTCTCCCGCAGGGGACTCGCTGGCCATGGATGTGTCCTCGGTCCACCACAACAGCACGCTCCTCCGCTACTCCGTGTCCCTGCTGGGCTATGGCTTCTACGGGGACATCATCAAGGACAGTGAGAAGAAACGGTGGCTGGGTCTTGCCAGATACGACTTTTCAGGTAACTCAATGCAGACTCGTCCCCCGCTGCCCCCGCCCCGACCGCCTTCGCAGACGTTACCCGACTGAGCCCAGGGACTGAGCCCAGGGACTGAGCCCAGGGAGCACCGTCAGAGCGGGGCGCCCACCTGCGTACAGACGGGAGCTAAGGGCCTTGCGAAATGTGCGGTGGCCAGAACGTGGTGAGGTCTGGGCTGAAACGGGGATTGCTGTGAACCAGATCCTACCCCCTGGACCCCAGCATAAGCCACAGGATGGACACCATGGGCGCGCAGTCCACTCCCGAAGCCCAGGTGCTGGAACCCTGAGGCCCAGGCCACCAGCCTCTCACATCCGTTAGGCAGGTGACACAGGCCGCCCCGCACAGTTCAAGTGGAAGTATTAATTGGAAAAAAAAATCATTTTGTACATATATTTTAGTGTTTTTTTTTTGAGACATGGTCTCCATCTGTCACTCAGGCTGGAATGCAGTGGTACAATCACGGTTCACTGCAGCCTTGACCTCCTAGGATCACACGATTCTCCCACCTCAGCCTCCTGAGTAGCTGGGTGACAGCTAGACTCTATCTCAAAAAAAAAGTAGAATTTCAGCCTGGGCAACATAGGGAGACCCCATCTCCACAGAAATTAAAAACAAAATTAGCCGGGCACTCCGATTACTCAAGAGGCTGAGGCAGGAGGATCCCTTGAGCATAGAAGGTCGAGGCTGCAGTGAGCAGAGATAGGGCCACTGCACTCCAACTGGGGTGACAAAGCCAGAGCCTGTCTCAAAAAAAAAAAAGAAAACAGGAAAGAAGAAAATATGTAGAACATGAGGTTTACCATTCTTGCTGCCCAGCTCTCCCGGCTCTGTACAGATAAATTCACTTTCAGATAAATCTGTATCAAATTAAATCAAGTAATTCCTGATACTGAAATCTTAACCCTTTTTTTATGAGAGAAAGAAATAGTAATCCAGTAAACTTTACGAAGCTTAAAAAGACCTAATGAAATTAAAAACTAGTGTGGCTTGAAAATTAAAACCTAAGAAATGCTAAAGTTAGGTATTTATCTAAAGTTTATTGAGAAAGGGAATGCTGAGAAAATTAGAGAAGCCACGAGGATTTTAGGAAGCGATTTGGGTTGTGCCATTCGCCCGACCGCCCTTTGTTGAGCCCGACGTGGCTCTGTCCAGCAAGGCCCCTGGGACGCCCCCTCCCCCCACCTGCCTGCTGCTGGGGTGGGGGTGTCGGCCAGCCCTCTGGATCCCCGTCCTCTCTTGGCCCTCAGTCCATCATTGCAGGCAGTGGCTACAGCTCTGTTCCTCCCACTAGGATGAGAGCCCCGAGGCAGGAGGCACCTTCCCGGTCTTGGGATCCCCATCCTGGCCACGGGGTCTGAGATGCTGTCACAAAGGTGGGATTGGATTCAGTGGCTGTGAGGCAGAAAGCATCTGGTTGTTCTGGGCAGTACAGAGGGCGTGGTTGGAGAACAAGCATGTGGAAATGACACACTCTGTGGAGACGTGGATTCTTAGGTGCCGGTAGGACATCTGGGGCCCATCAAGATAGGAAGTCGGTGAGGGGCCCACCTGGAGGCTACATCTGGGTGATGAGGCAGCTGCCCCGCCCAGCCGCCTGCACTTGAGCGAGGAGCTGGCTTGGAAGGTTGCTGACCGGTGGGTTGGCCTCCTCCCAGGGCCCTGGACACGACGTTCCTGTGGGACCCCCATGGGAGGAACAGGGAGAGAGGCCAGAGCCACCATGCAGGGAAGTGGAGTTGCAGCCTCCTGGAAGGGCCTGCCCAATGGGGCAGGAGGATGGCGGTCACTGTTTCTCCACACAACAGACATGTACTGAGTGCACTCCACCCTCCTGGCCCATGTCAGGTGCCACACCCACAGACAGGGCTACGCTGGGGACCGTTGGGAGCTGAGTTTCAGGCACACAGATGTCCTGGGAGCCAGACTGCTCTTGCTGGTAGCTTCCCCCACCCGTGGGCAGTTCACACTCAGCTCGGTGCTTGCCATCTGTGGACAAGGATGTGTTCGGAGGACGGAGGCCTCTGTGTGTCGGGGTAAGGTGGGGGGCAGGCTCCCTGCAGGCCGTCGCTGCCACATCAGACATCATACAGGGCAGTGCCAGCCCCAGCATCAGACACGGAGGAGTGGCAACACCCTGAGACTCGCAGGACACGGCCTGGTTCTGGTGTGGCCCACGGTACCCCGGGGCCCCGCTCCTGCCTCCTGCCCAGTCCCTGCTGCCCTTCGGGGTGGTGTTTTCCAGACAGCCCCATGGACAGCACACACATTGCCTGGAAGGCGGCTCCGGACTTTAGGTGGCAGTGTGGGCCTGGCCTCTGTCCTGAGCTCTTCAGGACGTCACGGGGCTGTGGCTGATGACTCCAGTGGGGGCCAAGTCCTGGGGCAGGCGAGAGCATCACCGACCCTGGTGAAGGGGTGGAGGGGATGACCCTGAGCCACTGGAGCCCACAGGCCACATCACTGAGGCCACGAGGGGTGGCTGATGGCAAAGACCCTGCTTTGTCGGCATCGAGGGTGGCCAGAGCCCTGGAGGTCCCAGCATCACTGGGTGTCAGAATGCACCAGCACTAAGACCAGATGTGCTGTTGTCCCGTAGGAGGGCCCAGACCCTGCCACTGTCCTCAGTGGTGACATTGCCTGGAGCAGGCCGGGCCTCTCCCTCCCACAGACCGTTTGGGCAGATGTGCTCTCAGCAGGTTTCTGAAGCTGCCAGGCACAGCATGCTAACCAAGCCGTGACCCTTGTGGATGTTTTTTCTTCACCATACTCTGTTCCCAGGTTTAAAGACCTTTCTCTCCCACCACTGCTATGAAGGGACAGTGTCCTTCCTCCCTGCACAACACACGGTGGGATCTCCAAGGGATGGGAAACCCTGCCGGGCAGGGTAAGCGCATTTCTTTGTGTGTTTCTCTTGCAAAAGACGGGAAATAAAGTGGGGCGGTTAGGAAGGTGAATGCAGAAGTATTTTCCCAATGTGGTGGAGGGTGCTGGATGTGGCGCGCCCAGAGACACGATGCCTGTGATGCCCATGATGCCCTGGGCTTGCGTGGGGCTTGCTGTCCCCATCTCTGTCCCCATGGCGTGCATGGGCAGCCACTCCTGTGCCAGGGATGAGGACTCTGAGGGAAGGTCCCACACCCACTGTTGGAGTGGGGGCTGAGCATAGTGTTTGCCCCTGCTGGGGTTCCCTTTGCCCCCTGTGGGGGTCTGATGGAGGAGAAATGCAGGCAGGAAAGGATGGCAGACACCTTACGGGTGGCTGTGCCTTTGCAGGGCGCTGGCAGCAGGACCATTAGTAATGCTGGCTGGAGTAGAAGCGGACCCTCCTGCCCACACCCCTGGCTGAGACCCTCACCCATGTTAGCCCCATGCTCCTAAGCAGGAGCCTGCTCTGCAGTTAGCAGAGCCCAGGCCAGGCACGCCCTCAGCCCCACACGAAGGCAGGGGACCCCCAGCAAGAAGGCTCAGGCTGGCAACAAGGGTGGGCCCCAGGAGATGGGTGGCAGAGCCAGGGCAGTTGCCCAGGCAGAGGGAATGCAAAGGGAAAGAGGCAGCCTGCCAGGGAGGGGAGGTTCAGTGGAGTCAACCATGACTAAAAACGCTGTGCTCGGCCGGGTGGGGTGCCTCATGCCTGTAATCCCCGCACTTTGGGAGGCCGATGCTGGTGGATCACAAGGTCAGGAGTTCAAGACCCGCCTGGCCAAAATGGTGAAACCCTGTCTCTACTAAAAATATAAAAATTAGCTGGGTGTGGTGGTGTGCACCTATAATCCCAGCTACTCGGGAAGCTGAGGCAGAGAATTGCTTGGACCCGGGAGGCAGAGGTTGCAGTGAGCCGAGATTGCGCCACTGCACTCCAGCCTGGGCAACAGAGTGAGACTCCATCTCAAAAAAACAAACAAAAAATGCTGTACTTTCCCCTTACGTTTGGTGCCCCAGCTTGGCCACTGCAGGCTCTGCAATGGTGAATGAACAAGCAGGGGTTCCTTTTCACCTGGTGTATCCCCACCTTCACCCCCACACAGTGTACTCAATAATATACCACCAGTGTAAATAGAACCTCAAATAAATCTAAACGTGGTTGTCGCAGGCTGTAGGACCTCACTAGTGACCCTGGAGGGCACCTGAATGGTCATCCTGTCTCCGCTCTGCCTTGGGCTGAGGACATGGGGCTGTGGAGACAGCTGTGCTGTTGTGAAGGAGACAGTCACGCAGACTTCAGAACCTCCTTCTCCTAGGCCCTTTCCTTTTTTAAGTGGGGAATTTCAGACCATAAAATCAGAGTCTTTAGAGGTAGATGCAGTTTGAGTCACTGCACCACTGAACTCAGTTGCTGTTGGGCAAATTCCGCCAGAGCACGCGCTTGTCCTGTTGAACAGTGCGTGAGTCTAGCAGCACCCAGGAGCAGAAGGATGTTCTAGACCGATGACTACGCTCTCAGCTAATGGTGCCGAGTTACTTGCTTGTGATTGACTGGAACAAATAATCCCTTTGTTATTTGTTGTCTGAAAGGAAATGACTCCTCGCCCCAGGAGTCCGCTGGTGGAATGAGTGCCCTGGTCATTTCTCCCAGCCGGGCTCTGTTAGCTGAAGGCCAGGCAGAAACTGTCTCCAGGTGGCCTTCAGCATCTCATGCTGTGCTTCTCCTAATGTCCAAAACTTTCAGAGAAGGACATGTTGAATGTGTAATTTTAGAAGTAGGTCTAATTCTGAGACCTCAAATAAATATGCCAAAAACTATTTTTAGTTAAGCCTTTGCAATGGAACTTTTTCAAAACTATGTGAAAAAGAATGTGGATACTTCTATATGTGCCAAGCACTGGCAGTGCACCTGGAACTACATATGTAAAAGGTGGCGATATTCTTGTCTTTCAGGTGCTTTGTTTGCAGGCAAAGCAGGCAGCAGCTGGAGGACGAGCAGAAGAAGGCGCTGTATGGTTTGGAAGCTGCAGGTAATTCCTGAGAAACAGGCTCAGTGTTGAAACTGCGCGTGCTGGAGTTTGGGTTTTGTCCTCTCTCGGTGCACTGCCTCTTCTCCCCGCCCATCTTTCCTTTTCCTTTTTCCCGTCTGGCACCAGGCATCCGTTTCTCCTTAGCCCCAGGCAGCTTCAGGTCTCTGCCACTTGCCGTGTACGATGGTGTGGAGCAGCAGGTTTTGTGAAAGGCCCCATTGCCCCTTGTGAATCGCTGAGCCTGGCCCCCTGTCCCAGGTGCTCTAGAATGTGGGGTCAGCAGATGTCCCACTGAGGGCTTGCTGGTGACCACCTCAGGCTCCAGCAGCCTCACAGTCTTTGTCCAGCAGAGGCAGCCTACGCAGCGTGCAGTGAGTAGGTGTGGCCATCTGCCGGTAAATCTTTATTTATGGACACTGAAATTTAAGTTTCATAGAATTTCCACATGTCACAGAATATTATTCTTCTGAGTTTTTTTTTTTTCTTTTGTTTTCTTTTTTTTGAGATGGATTTTCACCCTGGTCGCCCAGGCTAGAGTGCAGTGGCATAATTTCAGCTCACTGCAACTTCCGCCTACCGAGTTCAGGCTATCCATCAGCCTCAGCCTCCCAAGTAGCTGGGACTACAGGCATGCACCACCACTCCTGGCTAATTTTTTGTATTATTTAGTAGAGTTAGAGCTTCACCATGTTGGCCAGGCTGGTCTCGAACTCCTGACCCCAGGTGATCCGCCCGCCTCAGCCTCCCAAAGGGCCGGGACCACAGGTGTGAGCCACTGTGCCCAGCCAGTTTTTTTCAACTATTTATTTATTGAGATAGTCTCACGCCATCGCCCAGGATGGAGAGCAATGGCGTGACCTCGGCTCACTGCAGGTTCCACCTTTTGAGTTCAAGCGATTCTCCTTCCTCAGCCCCCCTAGTAGTTCGGATTATATGTGCCTGCCACCATACCTGGCTAATATATGTATATGTATATAAATTAGACAGAAATATAAAAAATATATATTTTTTTTCGATGAAATTTCACTCTTGTTGCCCAGGCTGGAGAGCAGTGGCACGATCTCAGCTCACTGCAACCTCTGCCTCCTGGGTTCAAGTGATTCTCCTGCCTCAGCCTCTCCAGTAGCTAGGATTATGGGCACATGTCACCACACCTAGCTAATTTTTGTATTTTTAGTAGAGATGGGGTTTCACTGTGTTTGCCAGGCTGGTCTCAAACTCCTGATCTTAGGTGACCCGCCCGCCTCGGCCTCCCAAAGGGCTGGGATTACAGGCGTGAGCCACCACGCCGGACGTTTTCAACTATTTAAAAATGTGAAAGTTATTCTTAGCTCTCGGGCCACACACAGGTGGATGGCGGGCCGCATTTGGCACACAGCTATGGTTTGCTGACCCTTGTCCTGAATCGTGGTCCAAAAGTCACCAAGCGAGGAAATGGACAACAGTCCTGTCTTCCAGGAAGTGACCCTTTGGGTACCACTTCCTGCGGGGAGCGAACAGTTTCATGGTGGATGTTTTTGGTGTTGAGCTAGAGTCGATTGCATGAAGTGTTTGCCAAATGCATGACCAGGTGAGAGCCGGGATGGCCTCACACCGTCCCGGTGCAGGGCGCTGCCTGGCGCCATTGGAACTGTGACATCGCCATGGTTCTTTCTGTTTCAGAGGACGTGGAGGAGTGGCAAGTCGTCTGTGGAAAGTTTCTGGCCATCAACGCCACAAACATGTCTTGTGCTTGTCGCCGGAGCCCCAGGGGCCTCTCCCCGGCCGCCCACTTGGGGGATGGGTCGTCCGACCTCATCCTCATCCGGAAATGCTCCAGGTTCAATTTTCTGAGGTTTCTCATCAGGCACACCAACCAGCAGGACCAGGTAAGTGGGGCTTTTGCACGGACTCTCCACTGGTGAGTAATTTATGTTCCGGCAATCCCTGGTTTATATGTTGTAGGGATTCATTATAATTCAAGGGAAGGAAGGACAATTTTTTTTTTTTTTTTACTTTCACAAACTTTAAACTCCTGGTTACAACTACTCCTTGTAAAGTGTCATTTAAAAATATAAATATCTGAGGCCAAGCACTTTGGGAGGCTGAGGCAGCGGATCACATGAGCTCAGGAGTTTGAGACCAGCCTGGGCAACATGGTGAAACCCCACCTCTACTATAAATACAAAATGAGCCAGGCATAGTGGCTCGTGCCTGTAATCCCAGCAACTCAGGAGGCTGAGACATGAAAATCACTTGAACCCAGAAGGCGGAGGCTGCAGTGAGCCGAGATCATGCCACTTAACTCCAGCTTGGACGACAGAGCGAGACTCCCTGTCAAAAAAAAAAAATGTATATATATATATATATATATATATATACACACACACACACATATATATACATACACACACATATATATATACACACATTTATATGCATATATACACAGACATACACATATATATGTACACACACATATTTATATGCATATGTACACAGACATATACACAGACATATACACACACATATATACATATATATACACACATGCATATTTGAGCACAGAAACTGAGAGGTACAAATGTTTATAATTCAACTTCTTCTCTGTTGTTTCTCTTCCTATTTAAAACCAGAACAAAGCAATACAGTAAAGACTTAAGTGGTTCTTGAAGCCACTTCAAATAGAATCTTGGGGCTCCCAGAAATGGTTCTGTTCCGGCCCTCTGGCCACATCTTTCTGTAGCCCACACAGAGGAAGACCTGAGTCTCCCCATGCTGGGAGAAGTGGAACTTGGGGCTGCAGTCTTCAAATTTAGTCACATTTCTTTTTTAACTTAAGTTCTATTTAAGATCTAGTCTAATGCTATTTTTATGTGGCTTTTTAAGTAGTGCTTGTTAAAAAGAGAATACAAAATTCCACAAATCACTGCTAATTAACTATCAGAATCCTGTAAAAAGCATTCCTCATTGTAGATAAGCTGTGATTTCTAAAAGCATTAGAAGTCATTTTGACAAGTGCTGGGGAAGGTGGGAGCGGGGGAAGCTGGGCTCCGGGGAAGGTGGGCACCAGGGAAGGAGGGCTTCGGGGAAGGTGGGCTCAGGGGAAGGTGGGCCGGGGGGAAGGTGGGCTCCGGGGAAGGTGGGCACCGGGGAAGGAGGGCTCGGGGGAAGCTGGGCCCCGGGGAAGCTGGGCTCCGGGGAAGGTGGGCACCGGGGAAGGTGGGCACCGGGGAAGGAGGGCTCCGGGGAAGGTGGGCTCGGGGGAAGGTGGGCCCCGGGGAAGGTGGGCCCCGGGGAAGCTGGGCCCAGGGGAAGGTGGGCTCGGGGGAAGGTGGGTGCCAGGGAAGGTGAGTGCCAGGCTTCCCTTCGTCTCTGAGCTGTCAGGTCAGCCAGAAAGGGAACCCCAGGGCCCTACACAAGCAGCTGCATCCTCCGGGAAGGGCCGTGCGTGCACCAAGGCCTGAGAGAACTCGCTGTTGGCCTGGGCCATTCTGCCGCCCCACCCGGAGGACATTAGAGCTGAATTGTCCTTCTCACTGTCTCTTGGTAGTTTGACTTCACTTTTGTTGAAGTTTATCGCGTCAAGAAATTCCAGTTTACGTCAAAGCATGTGGAGGATGAGGACAGTGACCTCAAAGAGGGGGGGAAGAAGCGCTTCGGGCACATCTGCAGCAGCCACCCCTCCTGTTGCTGCGCCGTCTCCAGCAGCTCCTGGAACTGCGACGGGGAGGTCCTGCACAGCCCGGCCATCGAGGTCAGGTACGTGCAGGGACCTCCAGCCACCAGCGCCAGCCCCTCCAGCCCCGAGGTGTCTGGTCCAAGCTGCCTCACCGAGGGGTATTCCCTGGGGCTTTGTAACAGAATGTTTTAGAAATTCACTTTTCTTTCCCTATGTCAGTATTGAAGGAGAGGCCATTACACACATTCTGGGAAGATGCCAGGGTGCGAGTCCTCCTGCGTTTGGTTTGCAGATCATTTTCACGGTTGCTGGAAGCCCCTCCGTCTCATTCTTTTTCTCTTCCACACTCTGTGCCCCAGGCTGGCATTGGGCCCTTTGCCCTGCCATTCTCTCCCTCTTCTCCCAAATAACTCAAAAGGCAGAAGGCCAAGGCGGGCAGATCACTTGAGGTCAGGAGTTTGAGACCAGCCTGGCCACTATGGTGAAACCCCGTCTCTACTAAAAATTCAAAAAAAAATTAGCTTGGTGTGGTAGCATGCACCTGTAATCCCAGCTACTCAGGAGGCTGAGGCAGGAGAATCACTTGAACCCGGGAGGTGGAGGTTGCAGTGAGCTGAGACCTGGGTGACAGAGCGAGACACTGACTCAAAAAAACTCGAAAGACAAACAAAGGAAACCGCCTTTATGGGCAGTCCTTGATCCACTGAATCCACCAGGGAAGCGTGGGCCTCAAGGGCCACGGCCAACCACCAAGTGCAGGTGCTCTATGCAGGGAGGGGCAGGAGGCAGCAGCGCTGGGAAAGGCACCCCGAGAATGGGAAGGAGGGGAGGAGGCCCGAGGGAAACTTGGTGTTGAAGGCCATGCAGCCTGGGAAATCCGTGGAGGCATCTATGGCCAGACACAGAAGTTCGGGGTCCCTGGGGCAGGCGCCATGCCCCCCCTCTGGCTGGCTGGGTGGAAGGTGGAAGCAGTGTCCTCCCACATCGACTGGGGCCCATTGTATTTGGAAATTTGTAATATATCACATAACTAGCAGGAATTTGAGCGCAAAGAAAATTGTTTCTCCTTGGAAAGACACAGTAACAAGCAAGTTGATTTTTTTTAAAGGCCATTGAATTAGGTGTGGACATGCAGATTACATGAGGCTGGGGAGCTGGTAAAGCTCTAGGCGGGCTCTAAACTGTTGGCAGGTATCTGTCAGAGCTTGGTCTACTTCAAGGAAGCCCAGCCGGACACTCGTGCACAGAGCGTGGCTCACGGGAGAACCGTGGCAGGCTGGTCAGCAGGCCTACGCCTTCTGCACCAAAAGCTGGGTGACAGATGGCCCTTGAGTGCTTGAAGTCACAGCATATAAGAGGATGCCACCTCTCTGCAGACAGCTCCTCAGATCAGTGACTCCTCCGCCAGCCAGCTCCGGCTCTAAGAAAGCTTCTTCCGTTCACATCCAAACAAACCTAATGGAGGAGGAGGTCTCCACCCCTCTCAAGGCCCGGGTCTGCGTGCTGCTTTCTTTCTGTCAGGGTGGTCGTTGGAAGGTCCTAGGAACACCCACTGCCCCAGGCAGCCGTGCATAGGGACTTTCTCTGTCAACTCGTGACAAGTTTGGGAAGTGGGATTATTTTTAATATTGGCATACGTATTAAAGAAATAGAATAATGTGAAAATTAGGGCAGGCATCAAACAGGTCCTGTCTATCTTGATAAACATTGCTATGCCTTGAGAAGCACACCACTTTTTAAAATATAATTTGTGTGTGTGTGTGTGTGTGTGTGTGAGAGAGAGAGAGAGAGAGAGAGAGAGAGAGAGAGAGAGAGAGCCCAGCTCCATGGAAACAGCCTGTCATTTATTTTTATTTTTTAATTTTTTGAGACAGAATTTCACTCTTGTTGCCCAGGCTGGAGTGCAATGGTGAGGTCTCGGCTCACTGCAACCTCAGCCTCCTGGGTTCAAGTGATTGTCCTGACTCAGCCTCCCAAGTAGCTGGGATTACAGGTGGGATTACAGGCGCCCACCACCACACCTGGCTAATTTCTGTATTTTTAGTAGAGACAAGTTTTCACCATATTGGCCATGCTGGTCTCAAACTCCTGATCTCAGGTGATCTGCCTGCCTGGGCCTCCCAAGATACTGGCATTGCAGGCATGAGCCACTGTGCCCAGCCCTGGCCTGCCACTTAATGCAGGGGTTTAGGTTACTTAACTATGTCTGAGAAGGCTGCGATATTATTAATACATGAAATAAACAGAGCTGTCCTGTGTGGAAAGATGGCACTGACCCAGGGATTCACTCTGGCCACCGAGCCCCTGGGCAGGGGACCTCCAGGGGTCCCCAACCTGCTCCTCAAGCCTGAAGGCTGTTGCTGGCATTGGGCCACCTGTCCTTCTCATCTGAGCATTCCTCACACATCTCTTCCACAAATGGAGTCGCCCCACACGGGCTCCCCGCAGGCCGTGCACACTCAGTACTGCTGAGGACATTGAGGGGGTGGGTGGGTGGAGTGGGCACAGGCCAGAGTGGGCACTCTGCTTTCCATGGGAGCGTTGTCATCTGAATCAGGTGTGCTGATGCCCGTATTTCCCACCTGGCCATCAGTGACCCTTTACAAACTTGGCATCCTGGGAGTCTAAGTGAATGACTCCACACCCAGGACCCGTCATTTCGGGCTGAACTCCCACAGCCCACGGCGACATCTGACCATTCCACGGGGAGTGGGCCCCCGCCGCAGCCCTTGTCTGGGAGTGGGGCTCAAGACCAGCCTTCAGTGAGGGACGTGTGGGGCTTACATGTGGCTGCTTGTCTCTGCAGGGTCCACTGCCAGCTGGTTCGACTGTTTGCGCGAGGAATTGAGGAGACTGAGAAGCCAGACTCGCACAGCTGAGCAGCCGGCTCCTGCTTTCGAACTCGGAAAGTGCGAAAACTATTTAAGAGAATTATTCCAGACTCATTATGTTGAGATATACATTCAAATTTAGAAATTTATTTTTGATAGTTAAACCTTGATTTTAGAAAAAACACCTTTTGTCAACAATTTTGTGACATATTTGGCATTTTCAGTTCTTTTGCGCACCTGCGGGTTCAGCTCACGTCACTTCCCCTTAGCGGACACAGCTGCTGATGGGGGCATTGGCTTCTTAGGTCTTAACAATGTCAACAGCGTAGTTTAGAAAATGGCTCGTCAGTGGCTCTATTGCAATAATTTTAGGGACGTGATTTATGATTTCCACGCAGGTCACACCATCTGGGCCTGAGGTAGCGGTGGGTCACTTTGATCCACTTTGCGGGACTTATTCCGTAATGGTCTGTGGGCAGGTTTTGGGAAGTGGTTGATTCTCTTTGCCTTCATTTCACCTTCCTCTTAGTTTACGGTTAGGTCATCGCTGCTTGATCCCCACAATACTGTGCAACTGCAATGCAACACGGTTCCGGCTTCAGGTGACCCTCGGGAGGTAGACCACGCCCACGCCAGGAAGGGCGCTGGGGGCCTCCATGCCTGCCTCATCACGGCAAGACAATCCGGCTGGGAGCGCGACCCCGGCGCCTGTTCTGGGAGCACCGATCCTGACCTCTGGAAGCGGGCCTGTGTGAAGCACTGGCAGGTTTTGTGCTGCTGAAATGTCACATGCCGATGCCTGATAGTGACGCGAAGCGCCTAACACAGCCGGGCTTGGCGGCCCATCAGGAAAAAATGGGCCGCCCGTGGAGGAGGGGCTGTTCCCAGACTCCGGAAGGATTACTTGGGAGCGGGCCCTGAAGTCTGTGCCCGAGGTCCAGATTTGTTCTTGCCTTTTCTTCACACCGAGTTCTCTGTATTTATCGAACGTCTTGTCCTTTTACACCAGTGTAGTGTGAACTGTGTCTCCGATGTTTGTCTTTTGTCTCGAAGCCGTGGTGGATCGCCGGTTTCCTCTGAAGCACGAGGGCTCTGGTGACCAGAGGACTCTTCCCCGAAGGCATTCCTGCCCCGATTCCAGGGCACCCCTCAACTGTGTACTCCGTCCTTGTTTAGTGCGTATCCATGCCTATGTAGATGATAAGATGTATGTAACTGAGTTTTGTTTGAAATAAGAGACAATGCGGCTGAAACTTTGGTCTCTGAGGAGGGGGCCATGGCCGTCTGGAGCATGTGTAGACACCGTTCCTGATGCTGCCGGGTGGGTTTTGCAGAGACTCCCTTAGTGATTTCGCATTTCGCAGGCAGCTTCCATTTTCAGAATTCCCTGGCATCGATTTCTGTTTTGAAGCATACAGGAAACTTCCCATTTCCTTGTTCAGCCCCACCCAGGTCAGGCAAAAGGGCAGCTTCAACGGCGGATTTTATGGACCACATTATCAGAGATCATTTTGCAAGCCAAATGGTGTAATAATGAATAGTTCAAAGAAAAATCTGGGTGTAAAGAGTAAATATGCCCTGGCTCTTTCTACCACCGTTTGCTCCTGGTTGGAAGGAAACCAAAGATGTAAGACGGGCTGCTCTTCCAGATGGGTGGTGCCTGCCTGTGCCTCACAGCCCGTGCAGCCCGCAGCGTGCCTGCTGTCCAGGAGGCCATGGCTGCCACAGGCACTCTGAAATTGCGCTCCTCACAGAGTTTCCCCAAAAGGTTCTTCTAAGCCTTTATTTTCCCTGGTAAATGTTTCTTAGCCGGGTGTGGTGGCTCACGCCTGTAATCCCAGCCATTCGGGAGGCTGAAGCAGGAGAATTGCTGGAACCCAGGAGGTGGAGGTTGCAGTGAGCTAAGATTGCATCACTGCACTCCAGACTGGGCAATACAGCGAGACTCCGTGTCAAAAAAAAAAAAAAAAAGTTTCCTATACACTGGCCTGCCCTAAAACCCACTACCAATTTTAGCAAAACAGTCCAGGCCAAAGAGGAAGTGTTTTATGTTGAATAAGAAACCCAGCCAGTCCACATGGCCAGCTCCTGAGTGGCTTTGGCGATACTCGCCAGCCACCTGCTGACATTCAGAATCTCAGACCTCGGGACTGCTGTTGAGGTAGTGTGTGTCTGACACCTGCAGAGAGCCCTTGGCTCTCTGTGCGCAGGATGGGTCACCCCCAGACATTCCCGCTTGATAGGCTCTGATTTCTGGGGAGCCTTTTAGATGTAGCAGATATACAGCACCTGTACTTTGCTGTTTTAAGGAAAAAAAATCCGAAGTGCTTGTTAGATAGTGAAAACTTAGGATTGCTTAAAAAGGTTAGTTTTAGCTTCCTCTGTGGCTCCCTGCTGCAAAACAATTAGCAGAGATGCAGTGGACCTGATTCTAGTTTGTTCTAATAGAAGTGAATGGGCGGCACTTGCCTCTGACGGCAGGGCTTGACTTTGATCCTGAACACCTCGTGTAACGGGGAAAGACTGCGTGAAATGATGGCCTCATTCTTCTAATCTTGCTGGTTTCGAGATTAGAAAACGACATTATTTGATCTGATATGTTTGAGAAGACAAAAATAAAGTTACCTGGGCAGATATGGCTTGCTGTCTTTCCTTTACACGTTCCTGTTATTTCCAAAGCAGAATATTTTTCATGAAAACACACACAATTTAAAGAACAAGAATAAAATGAACCAAAGTGTCACTACCACGTATGCCAAGAATATAATGAACCAAAACCAAAACAAAAATAAATAAACTAGAAAGATAGTTCAACTAGAAAGTTTAACTAGAAAGCTCAAACTAGAAAACTGCTGCACAGCAGAGGTAATAATCATGACAGTAAACAGACAACTTACAGAATGGGAAAAATGTTTGCACACTATGCATCTGATAAAGGACTAATAGCCAGAATCTATAAGGAACTCAAATTAGCACACACACACACCCCACACACAAATAATCCTGGCTGACATATGTAATCCCAGTACTTTGGGAGGCCAAGGTATGCAGATAGCTTGAGGTCAGGAGTTCGAGATCAGCCTGGCCAATGTTGTAGAACGCTATCTCTATCAAAAATATAAAAAATTAGCTGAGTGTGGTGGCAGGTGCCTGTAATCCCAGCTTACAGAGGGATTACAGGGTGAATCCAGGAGGCAGAGGTTGCAGCGAACCAATATGGCACCACCGCACTCCAGCCTGGGTGACAGAGTGAGACTCTATTTAAAAAAAATAAATATGCCAGGCGCAGTGGCTCACACCTGTAATCCCAACATTTTGGGAGGCTGCAGCAGGCAGATCTCGAGGTCAGGAGTTCGAGACCAGCCTGGCCAGCATGCTGAAACCCTATCTCTACTAAAAATACAAAAAATTAGCTGGCATGGCTATGAGCGCCTGTGATCCCAGCGATTCGAGAGGCTGGGGCAGGAGAATTGCTCGAACCTGGGAGGTGGAGGCTGCAGTGAGCCGAGATCGCGCCACTGCACTCCAGCCTGGGTAACAAAGCAAGACTCCATCCCAAAAAATAAATAAAATAATAAATACTTCATAAACATTAACTTGTCAACAAACTTGGTGGTATGTTCTGTTTGATCCCTACTAACAGACAAGGAAATGGGCACAGACAGGCTAGGTTACTTGTTCAGAATCACACAGCCAGTGCACAGCAGTGTCAGAAGTCAAGCCCAGGGAATCCCATCATCACCCACTGGGGCCCAGGAAGGGGAAGGACTCACATCTGAGGCCACACAACCAGGGTCCAGCCCCAAGCAGGCTCTTTCTCCACAGATACAGAGCCGCTTTTGGGCCCCTCCTCCCTTCTCTTGGTGACAGTTTTGCCCGTCGGCATCCTGTGGGCAAAGGGGAGGCTGAATTTGTGGTTTGTCGGTGTCTTTCTGGGAATGCAGCTTGATGGAGTCAGTCTTTGCGTGCAGGGAGAGAAGCAGAATGGAGGCTGGCCGGACGACTGGGCCTAGGCCTGCAGATGAGGGAAAGGGGCAGAGAGGACAAGGGATGTGTCCTGGCACTGATATTGCTGAGAGAGACTCCAACCTCCAGGAGGGGCACGCAGGCATAAGGTAGTGGCTGCTGGTTCCCCAGTTGGTGAACAAGGGTTGGCTGTGGGAGGGGCTCCAAGAGCAGTGGGGAGCTGTTAAAGATTCCGACCCGGCCAGGCACGGGGGCTCATGCCTGTAATCCCAGCACTTTGGGAGGCCGAGGCGGGCAGATCACATGGAGAAACCCTGTCTCTATTAAAAATACAAAAATGAGCCGGGTGTAATGGTGCACACCTGTAATCCCAGCTATTAGGGAGGCTGAGGCAAGAGAATCACTTGAACCAGGAGACAGAGGTTGCAGTGAGGTGAGATTGTGTCACTGCACTCCAGCCTGGGAAACAGAGCAAGACTCTGTCTCAAAAAAAAAATATATATATATATTCAGACCCAGCCTCTACCCTCTGCAACAGTTTGTTGCATAAACTGTTCTCCTAGGGAAGGCTTGGAGGGGCCCATGCCTGGGGCACCCAGGTTGGCAGGCAGCCTAGTGGATGCCTCTGGGGAGGCCTCCCTGACTACAGGCCGGCCGTGGAGTGCTGCACAAGAACTCACTTCCACCTCCCTTATGGTGGTGCTGTAGGCAGCCATGTTTGACACCATGTGACTATGCCTGGTGGTCACATGACCCCAAGACACCACACCATAGGTCAGCCCAGGACCAATAGCTGGTAGCAGGAAGCAAGGAGCTGAACAGGTGGATTTAGCTCTGGGGACTTCAGCCTGGACTTCCCAGAAGAGGCAGCTGCTGATGGTGTCCCTGGAGGGTTGAGGATGCAGGGAGGCCTGGGGGTCTTGGGGGTCTTGGGGAGTCTTGGGAATTTAGGGGGCCTAGGAGAGCTTGTGGGGCTTTAGGAGGGCCTAAAGGGCCTTGTCGGGGAGGCCTTGGGGATCGTTGAGGAGCCTGGGAAGGCCTTGAGGGGTCTCTGGAAGATCTTTTGAGACTTGGGGGCCTGGGAAGCCTTGGGGGACCTCCAGAGGCTTAAGGGACCTTGGGAAATCTTTGGGACCTTACAGGGACTGGGGCTTTGGGCAGGTCTTGGAAAGCAAGCGGGGATGGGAGGGCCTGGGAAGGCGGGTGGAGCA